TAACTGTATACATTAGTCAGCTGTCCATTGCTATCACAAAATACCTGAGATAATTAACTGATAAAGATAAAGTTAAAAGGTTTATTTTGGTACATGGTTGTAGAGTCTGACCTATTGCTTTTAGGTCTCTGGAAGGGGTGCTGGTTAGCAATGGTAGGGAGCATATGATAGAGAGCTATCTAGGCTTCATCTCAGTCTGGAGGAATTTGTATCTATAATCCCAGGGGAAAGTTATTGGATTTCCAGTGAGTAATTTCCAATCTATCACTTCCAGGACAACCTATGGGGAGAGCAAAGACACATATCTGCAGTTGTGGGGAACCAAGGAGGTCCTAAGTCCAGTCAGAATCATGTTAACTGGAACAAAGGCCTCCGCCAGGGCTGAACCTGGGCTATATTAATTTGTGAAGCGGAGAGTGGCTTGGGGCTGAGTGACTGTGAGAATGGCGGGAAGCAGTGAGTACTGTGAGTGGGGCTAGGTAGGAGGCACAGTAGCATCTCTACAACGTGCAGAGAGAGGTTTGCGGAAAGACTACTGGGATTCCAGTAACAGGTAGCATCTAAAGTTGGAGGAATCTGCATAACATAGTTTGAAGAAGTATCTTAGTCAGTTGCCTCAGTGTTGTCTGCCCTTCCTGCCCTGGGATATCAGAGACTCTTTCTTAAGGCTCAGTCCCAGCTGACTGCTTGGCATCTCACAGCGTAGTTTATGCTTAGTGGTAGGGAGCTATAGACGGGGCATCACTGATCTGTCAGACTGCCTCGAAGGCTACCCATCAGCATCTCAGCTAGACCCATTTGCATTACTTAAAGCCAGTTCAGGGGGCAGAGCATTTTCCTAGCCTGCTCTGTATGCTTCAATACATGGAATGAGACGAAGGGTTAGCCAACATGGAGACACATGGTCTTCTTTCAGGAAGAGCCATCCTTGTGGACCTCCACAACATATGGTAGAGCAAACTGCTTTTCTCATGGCCAGAAAGTAAAGGAGGAAGAGACTGGGGTCCTCCTGGAAACCATTACACTCCCAGTGACATGAGGACCTCCACTGAGTCCCATCTCCAAAAGGTTCCTCTACCACCCGGTAGTGCCACCTGGGGGACCAAAACTTTAATCCACAGGCTTTTGAGGAGGGGCATTCAAAATCCAAACTGTAGCACTGTGTTTAACTTACTCCAAAAAACTCAGTGAAGTTGTCTTCTTGTGCTCAACATTATCCACTTCAGCAAACAGTCACCTCGCGTCATTGTTAAACGGGTAGGCTTCCAACCTGGTCTGTGTTATTTCACTTTTCCTTAGTGATATAAAAATACTGACCAATACTCATATCGGAAATACGTTCATGGGTCAATTGTAACCATAGGTTGGCTCTGGAAGTAAGACAGGCAAAAGCCAGCAAATTCACAATCTGTACATGAAACAGTATTGCTTGCATCAGCAATATCTATGTGCCACACCTCCTTTAGCACAGTAAAATTTATAATAAATATATATGCTGCTTTTTTCAGATTCAAGTGTTAAACATTTATCAGAATATCGCTGAATATCTGTGATAATCACTCATCTTTCTTCCCCTGGGCCTTCTTGCTGAAAGTTATTAAATATAGTCATTCAGTATTGAATCCACTGTTTAAATGCATTAAAAATTGGCAGAGAGGAGTTTTATTATAAACACTGTCAATGAAGTAATAGATACCTTGGTAAATCATCACATCATTTTTGCAAATATCTGTTTTCGTCCTCTAGCAGATTGTATTGGACTGAGTCTGGCAATCTACTTGTGATTTTGTTGACAGCCCTCACGCTCTTTTGGGCTGAGAAAAATGAGCCAAGTATCTTCCTCACACCTTCCTCCATGGCTGCTCATTAAATACAATCTTCACAGAAATCGTCACTGATAGCTTTCCAACCAGGTGGAAGTGTGGACATATAACATGATTTCCATTAATACAATTTTTGTTTTGTATTTATATTCATAACCTGTTGATCCACCTAGATAGACCTAAACTCTAAAGGACAAAATCTGTTTCATTCTGTAGTCATTTTCAGAGTTTGGAATTTTATCCATCTTTTTGGCTGAATTTTCACAGCTTGTTCACTCGGACCCAAGTCATCTGTTTCGATGTAAGGTGCAACCTTGCACCCACACTGCCCAGGCTTTGGCCTGTGGGACACAGTTGCCTGGGTCCACTCTTTCCGGTCATCCCTCTTGTTCTGCCTGGAATAGCTTCTCCCTTCCTCCTCCACCCAAAGGAAGACTTCCCTCTTTCCAGGCACAATGTCAATTCTTTGTCTTCATGAAATTCTCCATAAAGGCTTCTGCAAAATTCCTTCTTACAATTCCTGTATTGTTCTTTGGGGTACTGTTCATTTGGACATTATTAGATGTGTTGGGTTGTATGCGCACAGTGTGTGTGTGTGTGTGTGTGTGTGTGTGTGTGTGTGTGTGCATGTGTGTGTTTATGACTTTAAATCTCTAACAATAGAGACTACTTTCTGTCTTGGTAGCATAAAAATACTAACCAATACTCATATTGGAAATATAATTACTTGTCATTTATAACCATAGATTGGCTGTGAACTATAAGACTGTCAAAAATCAGCAATCATGTTCTATATTAATTAGTTTATATGGCTTGTATTTGCATTTGTATATGTACAGCATATCGTATGTTCTTCTACAGAGCATCCTTATGTTAGTATAAATTCAACAAATATTTGTTGACTGCTTTCTGAAACAAATGGCAGACCCAATTGAAGTTTTATATTTGCAGACTTTCTTCAAAATCAGCCTTTCACCATTAGGCAAATTATTTGTCTCTAGGAACTTCTTACTTCTGGGGTTTTGGAAGAGTTAATGTCATGATAATCTGTATTTGCATGAGTCCTTCACCCCTTGCTTTGATTGCTAAAAACAACAAATAAATCTCTCCCTAAGAGCTCAATGCTATGTTACCCTAAGGCCCACTCAGCTCCATGCTGTAAATCCTTGTCAATCCAGTGCCTAGCGCTCTGCCTGGCTCTTCATAGAATCTCAGAAAATGGTGTAACTGCCACCCAGCTCTCTGACAACCACAACACAGCTGTTAGATCACTCTGAAGAGTTTAGAAATTATTTAGCCACTAACATAACTGTGTCTCCAGGTTTTCGTCTTAAATATCTTTTGCAGCTTTCTTGATTTTACCTAAGTGTAACCCAGCTAAGACAGTACCCACCACTCAAAAGAATCATAGTGCTTGGTGAGCAAACCGAACACTCAGATTTTGCTCTGCTGAGGTTCTTTCTGGGGAAGGGCAGGCTGATGGCAGGAAACTGTTTGCTTAAGGGCCACTGGCAACTGCTGATGTTTACAAGAATTTGTAATGTAGGGTGATTTGATTTACAGAAAATTTACCTTCAAAAAAAGCTGGATGAAACAGGTTCTATATTACACTTGTATGTGTTGTCCCAAATGGCATAAATTATTTATCCTGAGGCGATTAGCTCAGAAGCTGAGCAGCACACAGGTGTTTTTTACAGCAGCTTGAAGCATGGAAGCCACGGCTCCCCTCTGCTCTGGGTAATACCTGATATACTACCAAAGTTTGCCAAATTGGAAACTTTGGAAATAATCATTTTTGAACATTTCTACCTGGTTCACACTCTAATTCCATTGTCTAAAACATAAACTTCATCAATTTCATTGCTTTCTTCTTTGATCTTTATCATTCCCTACCTGGCACTAGCTTTGAGTTTAAATTCTCATTTTTCTAGGACCTTGAGGGGCATTATTAGGATTTATTTCTTTGAGCTTGCTCAGTTTTCATGGTGTGGGCATTCAGGGCTGTAAACTTCGTTCTTAGGACTGCATTCATTGTTTTCCTCCTAAATTTGGTATGTTGTACTGACATCATCATTTAGTTCTAGAAACTCTTATTTCATCCTTGGTTTCTTCTGTAATTAATTAGTGAATGAAATAAAACTTTGTAAGATTTTAAAAACAAATTAAAAAGAAACTCCCTCTTGAATGCTACCACTAGATGCCGTGGGCTCGGAGCTGGTACGAGCTGGCCCTCAGGTCCCCTGCTCTTTCCTGGGGTGACACTCATCACCACTGCTGCCTCTGTTCTGCTTCCACAGGGCGCCCCTGGGTCTTGGCTCAGGTCCTGCCGCATGAGTCCTTGTCACTGCACACTGCAGAGCTCCCCACACTTGGCATTTTCCCTGTGGGTTTCTTTCCTTAATGTGGACCCCTTTATCCCTCTCATCTATAGCTAGACCAACAAGAAAACAGTATGATGAAGAAAAGCAGAAGAGCAGCTCCTCTGCAGGGCGGGACACAATCTAATTTGCTGCTCGGGGCTGCCTGGTTGTTGAGCAAGGGTGAGGCAAGTCTGCTGGTCCCTTACACAATGCAGGGCACAAGTCTGCGGAGGACTCACCGGGTCGGTCCCTGTCCCGGTCCTGGTCATCCAGTAGGGACTTGTCCACAAAGGGCAAATGGTAGCAGGTCTTGGTTCATTCCAAAGGCTACTGGTGAGTTATGTTTTCTTGAACCACATGCTTAAGCCAATTCCTCTGCCTATGCAGCTATAATCCAGACCACATCAATACTTAAGGAAGGAGGGATTTTCTTGATTTAGCCATGGTAGCATGGGACTTAGTCACAATACTCACAACTTAATCACAGCTGTGCTGCATGACTGGACATGAGCTGTTCCTTGGGATGACTGGACTTTTACTGGGAAAGAGTGTAGATCCTGGTACGGGGAGTTCTTTCCTGAGCTATAATTTGAGAAGCTTGCCTTCTAAAATCTACCTTTCCTATTCTGAACACCCACCTGCTCTATGCAAATCTCTCTCTCTCCCCTGTAGCCAGACAGCACTGGGTAGTGCTGTCTGGAGTTTTCCTTCTATCATTTGCTACTTATTGGAGTTGTTGTAATGTTACTATCCTTCCTAAAATCCCTACCCTTCTAGAATGGCTGAATAACTGCTTTTTTTTTTTTTTTTTTTCAAGAAAAATCAATATCTACCGCCACCAGAAGTGGAGTAGGGAGCAGCAGGACAAAAGGCTACACTTCAGCTGAGCAGCAGGGTCACTTGTGTGACCCCGGAGGTAATGCTTTCTGCTTTGGTTTGCACAAAGTTCATGAGGCAGGCAGAAGAACAGGAACCCACATAAAACCAGATGCTCCTGCCAGGTGAGCCCTGGACTCAGGGAGCAGCCACCAAGCTCCAGGCAGTGTTGCTGATCCAGGGTTGTGCTCAAGAGAAAATAAGGGTCTCACTTCAGGAGTTAGGAAGAGCAGAGGGCTGCTCAGTCCCAGGCAGGAGAAGCCCGTTCATTCCCCACACTTGGGAACTATGTAATTTCTGTCTCTTCCATTGCTCAGGGAACTGAAGGGCAAAGAAAGAAAAAAGAAAAAAAAAGAAAAGAAAGAAAACATTTTGAATCCACGAGGTCATTTTTTGATTGAGGTCAGAGAAACGCAATCCCTCCATAGTCTACAGGATTTGAAATGGTCTGATATTTGCCAATAGTTTTCTAGCCCCACCTAAAACACACACGCACGTGTGCGCACACACAGACACACACATTATTGAAATATATTTTACATACATTAAATGTATCCCCTTAAAGTAACAAGTTTTCCACAGACCCAAGAGATAGGGGCTTGAGGGGAGCTGGTTTCAGAATGATTCTGAGAAACACACAAGCTGGGTCTCCCAAGTGGGTGTTCACAGGAAGGGTTTGTGCTCTATGAGAACCTAAGGTCACCGCTGATCTGACAGGAGGTGATGTAATGGAGAGCAGCTGCGAATCTAGATGAAGCATCACTCACCAGCCTGCTGCCCAGCTCCTGCTGTGCAGCCCTGGCTAACAGGACCCAGGCTAACAGGACCCTGGCTGGTGCCCCTGGCTCAAAGTGCAGTGACTTTTGTATATTCACTGAAAGGTGCAGTTAGCACTGTGGTCTGTTTTAGAACACTTTTATCGCCTCAGAAAGCAACTGCACTGCTCAGCAATCATAATCCTGTTTGCCCGTACTCCATGTCTAAGCAATCACCCAACCACTTTCTGTTATTATGGATTTACCAGTTCTGACCAATGCGACCTCTTGAGACTGGCTTCTTTTTACTTGGTAAAATGTTTGCAAGCATTGTCTGTATGGATCAGCCCTTCTTTACTCTGTAATAATGGGTTAATAATATCCCATAGTGTGGATAGATCCCATGTTGTGTATTTGTTCACTGTAGCATAGACTTTTGTGTTGTTTCCATTGTTTAGCTGTTGACCTCGTTCTGAACAAGCATGTGCATTTCTTTGTATGAATGTAAGTTTTCTATTATTGTGGATAGAAATTGCTGAGTTATACTTTGGCTTTTTGAGAAACTGTCAAACTGTATTCTATTTATTTATTTATTTTGGTACTAAGGATCAAACTCATGACCTAGTGATTAGCCAGGCAGGCACTCATGCCGTTGAGCTAAATCCCCTGCCACACTTTACATGATTTTTTTGTTTTGTTTTTTGTTTTTTGTTTTTGGTACCGGAGATCAAACTTGTGACCTCATACTTGCCAGGCAGGCGCTTACACTGCTGAGCTAAATCTCCAACCTTGTCAGACTATGTTCTAAATTTGCTGTATCACTTGACAACCTCACCAGTGATGTAGGAAGTTCCAATTTTTTCACATCCTGTCAGCACTTATTATTATCCTTTTTTTTATTTTAAGCAACCATGGTAGATGTGCAATGGTAGTTCATAGTCCTTTCGATTTGTGTTTATTTTGTAGTTAATGATCCTGAGGATCTTGTGTGCTTATTGGCTATTTATATGTCTCATTTGGGGAAATTCTATTCAACTCCTCTGTCCATATTTTTAAAAGTAGTTATGTTACTTTCTAATTTTGTTCATTCATAAACGAGCCTAACAGTTGTAGGAGAACATTTTTGCATGGTGGAGTGATACAAATAATGGAGTTTTTAAAATGTATTTGGAGTTTATTTCAAAATAGATTTTTTTTTAGAGCAGCTTTAGGTTCATAGCAAAATTGAGCAGGCAGTATGGAATTTCCATGCATTTTCACACATGCAAGCCTCCCTCACTACCAACATCCTCTAAGAGAGAGGTACATTGCTATAACATAGTATCATCACTCAAAATTTACATTAGAGTTTACAAAAATATCATGGTGTATATCTACCATTAGAATATTATGCACAGTAGTTCCCTTGCCTTAAAAATCTTCTGTGTTCTACCTTTTCATCCCTCTTTCTCCAGCCCCAGAACTTTCTACTGTCTCCATAGTTTTGCCTTTTCCATACTGTTATATCATTACACTCACAAAGTAGATAATCTTTTCACTTTGGATTCTTTTTCTCAGTAACGTACATTTACATTTCCTCCATGTCTTTTGATGGCTTGATAGCTTATTCCTTTTTATTTCTGAATAACATTCTATTAACTAAGTGTACCACAGTTTATCTCTTCACCTCCTGAAAGATTTCTTGTCTGCGTCCAAGTTTTGGTAATGGTAAATAAAACTGCTATAAACATCATATGTTTTTACATGTCTTTGGGTAAATGTGTTTTCAGTGCATTTGGGTGAATACCAAGGAGTGTGATTGCCAGGTTATATAAGCGCATGTTTAGTTTTATAAGAAACAGCTAAACTGTCTTCCAAAGTAACTGTACTATGCTGAATTCCTGCTAGCAAAGATTGAGAGTTCCTTTGCTTACCACCTTGGCGGCATTTGATGCTGTGCTTTGGATTCTGGCCATTACAGGTGTGCAGCGGTTGTTAACCCACTGTTGTCGGCACTTGCAATTCTCTAGTGACCGTGCTATGGGGCACCTTTTCATATGCTCATTAGCCATGCAGATATTTTCTTTGTGAGGAGTTTGTTCAGGTATTGTGCCTATTTTTAAATTAGGCTGTTCAATTTCTATTGTTGAGTTTGGAGAGTTTCTTGTATCCTTTGGATAAATTTCCATTAGGTACACTTTTGTAAATGTTTTCTCCTATCTATGTCCAATCTTCTCATTCCTTGACAGAGTTTCACATAACTGTTAATTTTCATGAAATCTAATTTATCAATTATTTCTTTCTTGGATCATATGCTTTATGCTGTCCCTGAAAAATCATCCACACACCAAAGGTTATCTAGATAGTCTCTTCTGCCTTCCAGAAATTTTATATTTTAGTCTTTTCCATTTAGATTGATGGTCTATTTTGAGTTAACTTTGTGAATGCTGCAAGGTTTGTGTCGATTTTTTAAAAATTGCTATGGAATGTTGTACATTTTCTTATGGGGTTGTTTTGGTTGTTTTTAATTATTAAGTTGCAAAAAATATACATGTTAGATATGTCTCTGTGCTGATATATGACCTGAGAATATTGTCTCCCATTCAGTGGATTGTCTTTCCAATTTCATGATAGTGTTTTTTGAAACACAGAAGTTTTAATTTTGATGAAATTCAACTTGCCTATGTTTTCTTTTGTAACGGAAATTTGGTGTCATGTCTAAAAAATTATTACCTGATCCCATGACAAATTTACTCTTATGTTTTCTTCTAAGAGCTTTACAGTTTTAGCTCTTTTATTTAGACTAATCATATATGCTTTGAGGGATTTTGTTTGTTTTGGGCTTTTGGGGGGGGGTGTTTGTTTGTTTTTTGTCTTTTTGAGACAGGGTTTCATTATACAGTTCAGGCTGGCCTTGAACTCACTTTATAGCCCAGTCTGGCTTTGAACTCACAACAATCCTCTTGCCTTAACCTCCCAAATCCTGGGATTACAGGCATGTACCACCATGCCGAGCCTAATTTTTGCAAATGATGTGAGATGGAGTCCAGTCTCATTCTTTCACATGTGGATATCCAGTTGTTCTGGCACAATTTATCAAAAAGACTATTCCTTCCTCGTAATTATCTTAATACACTTGTCAAAAATCAAGTAATCAATTAAGGTAAACATGTTTAATTGTGGGCTCCCAGTGACACTGCATTGATCTGTATGTACCAGGACCATACTGTCTTGTTTACTATAGCTTTTTAGTAAGTTCTGAAGTTGGAAAGTATGTCTCTGCTTTGTTTTTCATTTTCAAGATGTTTTGATTATTGCAAGAATAATAGTTTGGATCAGCCTGTCAATTTCAGCAAAGAAAGCATCTGGGATTTAAATAGGGATTATGTTGAACCTGTAGTTTGGGGAGTATCACTATCTTAATAGTAATCTTCCAGTTTGTGAACATGGGCTGCTTTTCCATTTATTTAGATCTTCCTTAATTTTTTTCAACATTTTGTAGTTTACATTGTACATATCTTGTGCTTCTTTTGTTTAATTTAGTCTTACATATATTATTGGTTTTGGTGCTATTGTAAATGAAATTGTTTTCTTAATGTCATTGTTGGATGATTTGCTATAGAATTGCAACTGACTTTTATATATGAATCTTGTATCCTGAAACCTATCTGAACTCATGCATTAGTCCTAATAACTCTCTCTTAATCTCTCTGACCCTTTCCATTTTGTACTGTTTTCCTCCTTGTCTATGAACTATTCTCTCTCTGTAATCTTCTTGCAGCTTCTCCAAAATGCTAAGCTCTGTCTCGTGATAGGGTCCTTATGTATTCTGTTCCCTGTCTGTATTTCACCCTTATTTTGGAAACTTCTGCCTGATTAACTCATCCTTCAGCTCTATCCCCATGAGCTGCCACCACTTCAGTCTATATCTTGCCCCTTTGTGCAAGCAACTACAGTACTGTGTTTCTCTTTACTGTTTACCTCAGTTTGTCCCCTCATTTACCTTACACTCTGGCTAATATTGTTTTACCCAAAAGAATATAATCCCCTGTCCATTTTTCCACACAAGGATAATTTTTGGCACCTACATAGTGCCTGGCACATAGTGAATACTTAACAAAGCATTTGTTAAATGAAAGAAAATATAGCCATTGTAAAAAATTATAGCCATTATTAAGAACTTTGGGTAAGGCTAGTGGAAGGAATTGAAGGCATGGTGCATAATAGCTACATAACTGATCTGCCCTTCTGAGGAATTACATTCTAGAATGGAATGTGATTGTCTTATGAGAGGAGGGCCACTGAG